GCAAAATGAGAGTGAATCTTCCGCTAGAACATGGAAAGATACAAGGCCACGATTTGTTTTTGTTGTTTACTTCAAGCGCCTTAGTATAGGGCCTCGCTCCACTATTCTCGAAAATGTGCAATTCGAGAGTGAATCTTCCACTAGAACATGGAAAGATACAAGGCCATGATTTGTGTCTTTTGTGCCTGTTGATTTGCCATTTGTGCATGTCGAGAGTAGTGGAGCGAGGTCCAAACTCTACTACCTAGTTCACCTGTGTCGGTTTCGGGTTCGGTACAATCAATGGCCCTCGCTCCACTACTCACCAAATGTGCAAGACTACTAACATGAATCTTACAATAGAATATGGAAACATACACGGGCGTAGTTTTTTTTGTCTTTCTTTTGCTTTTTTTTTTCTTTTTTTTTTTGTCTTTCGTGCATGTGGTGGAGCAAGGCCTAATGTACAATTTGATTCTAGAAAGATTTTTTTCCCCGGAAATCGAGGTCCTGTCCAATCATCCAAATTTTTTTATTTTCTATTTTTTAATCATCCAATTTTTTTGTTTCGTTTGGCAGCACTTGAAATCAGTCTTGCAAATTCACACTCAAACATGCATGCAACAGATGAGAATAACTTGGCGCTGTGCACCCAACTCAAACTCGGAGATATGGTAGCTTGCAACTCAACTCAAATCCAAGTTCACTTCAGTTGGCTATGGAGCTGGGCGCCCTCACTTACACGTTCGACTCAGAGTTCACACGCAACYCGACTCCGGATCACCCTGGATACCATGCACGCCAACCACTGCACACACACATACACACTCACTAACTGTCTATGGCTATGGCGCATGGCCACTAACAGCTAACTAGCCTATCACTAACTTCTGCCCACTTCGTCTGCAGACCTCCCTTGCACAAGACGCCCGAGCAGCGCTTCCGCAGAGCTTCCGCAGGAATGAATGAATGGCTGGACGCAGCCTCTGGATTTATACTTCTGTGTTGCATTCGTTTGCCTTGCATCCCTGGCCCATGAGGCACACAGTCCCCCCCGTGGTACTTGCTGGACCGSACTGGTACTTTCTAGACTTTCCCATGACTGCATAGTGACAACCCTACTACGCAGTGCAGTTGCACYGGGGTCCTACTATTTGCCCTTGCCACTTGTCCTCGTCTCCAACATGGGCTTGCTTTAGTYACACCACTTGACCACTTGCCAACCTTCTAGAAGGACTGCAGCTGGACTTCTACTCTACAGGTCTATGGATCAAATCCTGGCTACCTAAAGACCTACGACAGACCTACTTACCACTGGCGGTTCTACAGGTCGCAGGTTCAATTCTTCAAGTTGTCACAGATATTGTACACAGGTAAGTTGGGGAACTAGGGATCGAACCGTGGGTCCTACATCAGCTACTTCGAACTGGTGAATACCGTTTCACACTAGCTTAATTCAAATTTTGTCACTTTGCTTTGTAAAAACAGGAAAAATCCACTTTCTTGAGCTGCCAAAACAGAAGAAGACAAAGAAAGAGCAGCACACCAGACACAGGGCCCCACTCCACTACACAACACACGATATGCATTTGGACGACGCTCTCTGGACCACCACGTGCATTCGGATGAGTCCAACATTTTTTTATGTAATGGGTCCAGAAAGCATCCAAATGCGCGTAGAGTGTTGTTGTGTAGTGGACCGAGGCCCACAGTCAGAAAAATCCTAGTAGAGGTTGGCCCTCAAAGTTGTGCTCCCCAGATCCTCACCATAACCATCACAAGTCAAAGTCAAAGGAAAACAAAAGCTTGTTTTTTTTTGTTTTTTTTTTAAAGCTTGTTAACCAGTACTAAAAATCACTAGTTGTTGCATACTAGATCATGCAAAACAGAACAAGGACCGACCTTTCATTTCAAAGTACAAGATGGCGAGCGGAAGACTTATCAATGATCCGACTCAATCAATGTTGCAGTACAGTCCCGACATTTA